CCACGGGGGCGGCAACTCATGTCTCCTCTTCTCCGGTCTGTTCCGTGTCTCCCTCGAGCTGCAACAATAACCTCCGTGAGTTCAATCACCCATTTCTCCCTACTCATTCTAGCTAGATCTGAGAACATGTGGTAGGGTTTGACCTGAGAGCATGTGGTAGGGTTTGATCTATGACCATCTTGTAGCACTGCACATTGCCGATATGTGAGAATGTGATGTTGTGGTAGCTATTGGTGACGGATTTGTAGCATGTTAGGGTTGTATCGTAGTGTTGAACACAATGGATCGGTAGCTAGTTGTGATGGGTTGGTAGAATGCTTGTTGTTGGAGGTTGCTCATATCATGATGTGTTGACCTAGATGGTCTGGTAGTTTGTGCTATGCTTACTTTCCATGTGTGTGTTGCGATTGTAGGACATGGCCACACAAATGCAAGAGGTTAGTGATGCCATTATCCTGTCCAAGAGCCCATTTCAACTGTCCTATGTCAAGGACCCCCAGCCACCAATTGAGGACCATATGCCTCCTGATTTAGATGTGTTCCAGGGTCCTCCTTTTGTGCCTACAACATTTGTGCTCGTTGTGCCAAATGCTGCTGCTACGGCCGCTGCAGAAAAGGTAGCTGCAAAGGCAAAGAAGGATGGTAGGGGGAACACCATGAAGTGGCAGCCGTTCATGTCCACCTTCATGCTTAACAAGATGTGTGAGCTCATATCAAGTGGGGTTAGGACTAATAAGGGCTTCAAGGACGTACACTTGAACACCTTGAGAAGTAGGTGTTCAAGTTCTTTGGCCAGGAGGTGACCTCCACCCAGGTCTACAACCACCCCAAAAAGTGGAGAGCTAGCTGGATCCAAGTGTCCAAGATCAGAGACCTTAGCGGCTCCTCGTGGGATCAGACCACTTGCTCGATCATTCTGAAGGCAGACCACTACCAAGGTCGTGGTTAGCTCACGTCCCCCTTGTCCTTGTTTAAGCTTGTCAACCATTGTCTTCTTGCAACTAACCACGGTGTGTTTCTTTCTTAGGACCATTGATACATCTCAAACATATCTATAATTATTGTTTGTTAAATGCTATTATATTATCACCTTTTATGATTTATATGTCATTCTATATTATTTTTCTGCACTAATCTATTAATTTAGTGCCCAGTGTCAGTTCCTGTTTCTTTGCATGTTGTTGGTTTTGTAGAAAATCCATACCTACAGAAGTCCAAACATGATGAAAATTTAAGAGGAATTTTTGTGGAAAATATGCAATACTAGAAGCTTCGGAGGGAGCCAGAAGTGGGTTGTGGGCCCCACAAGCCCAGGTGGCGCGGCCGCAAGGGGGCGCCAGGCAGGCTTGTGGGAGCCCCAAAACTCTGTTTGACTTAATTCCCATCATATAAATTATGTCATTTCCCGAAAACCTCCAAGCGACACCCGAAAGAATTTTATTGCCACCGCAAGCCTATATTCTGAAGCGATCCCATCTGGAGCCTTTTTCTGGCGCTCTACCGGAGGGGGAGGGGGAATCATTGGGGAGGCCGTCTTCATCAACCTTGTTGCCTCCATGATGATGCACGAGTAGTTATTTCAGGACCTACGTGTCTATAGTAGTAGCTAGATCTCCCTCCCTCCCCCCCTCTCTCTCTCTCTCTTCAATACAATGATCTTCTCTAAGATCCATGCGATGTAATCTTTTGCAATGTGTTTGTTGGCATCAAACGAATTGTGGGTTAATGATCAGATTATTCATTCAATTTATATGACTCTCTTTCTTTGCTGCATAATTTTATAGCTTTGTATTTCTCTCTGATCTATCCGTCTACTTTGGCCAAGTTAGATTGATCTATCTTCAGTGGGAGAGGTGCTTTTTAGTAGGTTCAATCTTGCCGTGAACATGTCCTGTAACATGAGGGTCAAAGGCATGTACTTTATTGTTGCTATTAAGGATAAAACAACGAGGTTTGGTCGTATTGATTGATCTTATTTTGTCTATATTATGTCATCTTGCTTAAAGCATTATTCTGTTTATCATGAACTTAATACTTTGAGATGCATGCTAGATAGCGGTCTTGGGATGGAGTAATAGTGGTAGATGCAGTTGGACTAACGGTCTACTTGTTACAGACGTAATGCCTATGTTTTATTATGACATTAATGATCACAATTATAATTATGATAAATTATATTAATTGCCCAATAGTAATTTTTCTACCACACCATTGCTATGCTTTCGAGAATGATTCTACTAGTGAACCTATGGCCCCCGGGTCTATTTTCCATCAATACAAAAAGTCTCCACAATTGATCTTTTATTTGTTCTTTTACTTTCTGTCACTTTGCATATCACTATCTACTTGTTGCTAGCAAGAACAAGGGGGAGTGACATCCCCCTTGCCTTTGTTGGGTGCAAGCAATTGTTTTGTTTGTGTGCAGGTGTTGTTAAAGTTGTTAGTGTGGTGTCTCCTACTGGTTCGATAAACCTTGCTTCTTAGCTGAGGAAAATAGTATCTGATACTATACTACTTCAACCTTCCTCTTTGGGGAAATACAACAACTCCATTGTGACTAGAAACCACCCCAAAGACATGGAGTTTGTCAACACACCCATCCAAAATTACAACCAGATCCATCATATCTTCTCCTTTGGGCTGGCAACCGACAAGCATGCCGTGGGCTCTGGTGAACCGCTTGGTTCGTCCATGCCTGAGTTCCCTGACACCAGGAGATAGAGATCATGGTCCTTGTCCTACTACTCACAAGGGCTTTGAGCACGCCCTTGTGCTTGATAGGAAGGGGAAGAGGAGTGTCTGGATGGAGGACAAGGTCAGTGTCTTCACCAGCATGACTGTGGCCGTTAAGGAGGTGGCAACCACAATAAGAGAGAGCAAGTCAGTCGACGTCCACCCTAACTTATACACTGTCGTCATGGACCAAGGTGGCTTCAACCAAGAGGATCTCATGTCGACTCTAAGCCACCTGTTGGACAACAAGGCCCGGGGTGTTTGGTTTGTTTCCACGGCAGACGCTCATAGTGACAGTGCAAAAATACCATCAGATCCCTCAACAAGGGTCCACTACTTAATAGTTTAGTGCACCATGCTTTACGGCTTAGAACTGGGACTTCAAAAACATTTTGAACGCCACAAAGCATATGAGATGTTCCAAGAGCTGAAATTGGTATTTCATTCTCATGCCCGTGTCGAGAGGTATGAGACCTCTGACAAGTACTTTTCCTACAAGATGGAGGAGAATAGCTCATCTAGTGAGCATATGCTTAGAATGTCTGGGCACTACAATCGCTTGAATCAAGTGGGAGTTAATCTCCCAGATAAGATAGTGATTGACAGAGTTCTCTAGTCACTATCACCAAGTTACTGGAACTTCGTGATGAACTATAATATGCAAGGGATGACGAAAGTGATTCCCGAGCTCTTCGTGATACTGAAATTGACAAAGGTAGAAATCAAGAAAAAGCATCAAGTGTTGATGATTAAACAAGATCACTAGTTTCAAGAAAAGGGCAAAGGGAAAGAAAGGGAACTTCAAGAAGAATGGCAAGCAAGTTGTCACTCTCATGAAGAAGCCCAAAGCTGGACCTAAGCCTGAAACTAAGTGCTTCTACTGCAAAGGAAATGGACACTGGAAGCGGAACTACCCCAAATACTTGGCAGATAAGAAGGATGGAAAAGTGAACAAAAGTATATTTGATATACATGTTATTGATGTGTACCTTACTAGTGCTCGTAGTAGCCCCTGGGTATTTGATACCTGTTTGGTTGCTAAGATTAGTAACTCGAAACAGGAGCTACAAAATAAATGGAGACTAGTTGAGGGTGATGTGACGATGAGTGTTGGAAGTGGTTCCAAGATTGACATGATCATCATCGCACACTCCCTATACTTTCGGATTAGTGTTGAACCTAATTAACTGTTATTTGGTGTTTGCGTTGAGCATGAACAAGATAGGATCGTGTTTATTGCAATGCGGTTATTCATTTAAGACAGAGAATAATTGTTATTCTGTTTACATGAATAAAACCTTCTATGGTCATACACCCAATGTTAATGGTTTATTGGATCTCGATCGTAGTGATACACATATTCATAATATTGATGCCAAAAGATGCAAAGTTGATAATGATAAGTGCAACATAATTGTAGCACTGCCGTTTAGGTT